GCACTTAATTTTGTTTTTCACACAAAATTTGATACAGATTCTTTGATCCATTTTTTGGAATAGGCAAAAATCGAAGACGAGCCAAAACACGTGCAAGCAAAGCAGCTGTCAAAAATTAACTGAACATTCAAAATGGCCGAACTTGTCGGCATAAGTGAGAGACATGAGTACCAACATAACGCCACAAAAAATCGAAAATCGAATATACGTAACCCGCGGAAATTCAAAATTCGCGATACTTTTTGAATAGACCTCGTAATCTTTAATAGTGGTTGTATTACAATGTGCTCACTATACTTCGCCATTACAATGGAATAATCGAGCGTCCCCCTTCGTTTTGCCTAACACGCCATCTCCGTAGCACTGTGCGGAAAGAAAAATATATTGCTAATAGTAGCGCTACTTACAAACATTTAAATACTACACTACAATCTCCTCCACACTTAAATTGAAAAAACAAAACAAAAAAGGAAATATTGTACAAACTTATAAGTCTAAGATTTGCCGGGGTTTCGGAATTCGGCTTGAGCGCTTATATCACTGTTCCCCACTTCAGTGTGGGTACTTCCGGTTTTTCTAGGTTTCGCTGCAGTTATTTCGCCCTGCGACGGCGAGCGCTTATATCACTGTTCGCAGTGACCTGACCGTCGCTAACATTACAATTAGTCAACAATAGTCGCCCCCCTTATCCATGTTATTTCTCATACGTAGGCTGTTGGAAAAGTTTCTGCAATCTAGTACTTCCAGTGGCGCCAACGTTCTGCTACTATCATATCCGTAAAATTAGACATTTTAACTATAATTCAATTGACAATTTGTACCAAGCCAACTAGTTTTGTTTGCATAGTATTTTAAAAGAAGTTATTTTGTAAGAAAATGAAAATTTCGCGTGAAAATTTTCGGGCAATGACTTTTTATGATTACAAATGTAATCTAACTCCGAAATAATGCATCGATCGACTTCATTTGGCTTTTGGGGATGAAGCACCATCCAATAGGACTATTTATAATTGGTTTGCCGAATTCCAACGTGGATGTACCTTTCTTAGTGATGAATTCCGTGAAGATCGTCCATCCACGTCTGTTGTTGCCACAAATGTTGATGCTATGCGTGAAATGATTGAGCGAGACCGGCATATAACATATCGCGAGATTCAGGCATCCTTATTCAGGCATTGACATGAAAGCAATACATACGATTTTGTATGATCACTTGAGCGTACGGAAACTTTGCAGTCGTTGGATCCCACACAATTTGACCGAAACTCAAAAACAGGCTCGTGTTAAATGGAGCAAAGAAATGCTCAAGAAATTCAACCGAGGTCGGTCAAATTTGGTCTACAACATCGTTACTGGGGACAAAACATGGAT